AAATGATCAAACGTAGGTGTTATCTTGGAACCTCTTTCTACTAATCCCATCATTTGCCAAGCTTTGCCTATAGGATCTTTGTCGCCTTTATTTTCTTTCTGGTGCCACATTATTAGATCTAGTTTGTTCATTATTCCCAATGTGGCTTGGATTCACTGTTTCTAGGTTCTGTCTTGTTCTTATGCATGGTGTGGAGCCTTGAGTTTCAATTCCAATTTCTTCTCTTGTTCTTAAGTAGGAAAGTCTGTGTGTACAACTTAATATAAAGCTGTTTAGTTACAAGAAGAGTTGTGATATTTACCATAATGATTACGTACCTAACAGCAATTCTTTACCAATGGTATGTATCAGAATTCCTTGTGAAACTTTAAAATTCACATACTTGAGCACCACTCTAGACCTCTGACTCTATCTCTGGGGCAAGCCTGAGTATTAATTCTACCAGATTGAGCATTTGTATAAGCAACTAAGGCAGAGAAATCAAAGGCATGATGATCTAGAACAGTAATGGCGAACCTTTTAGAGCTTTCAAAGATACAAACAGCTCACCACGGCACATATGCCATAGGTTCACCACCACTGATCTAGAAAGTCCTGTTCTCTCCTTCCCTTTCCTTGATCTCTGTAATCTTTTATCTTTCAAATTCTCCCTCAAAAAGATATACCTTCTCCAGAAGCCCTCACTTCTGCCCTTAGTTAGAAATCATGTTTCTTTGAACTCTAAAACATGTGCTTTTTCTTCTTTTTTTTTGGTTTTTTAAGACAGGGTCTCACTATGTAATTCAGGCTGGCCTTGAACTCACTGTGGAGCTTAGGCTGGCCTCAAACTCACAGCATTCCACTTGTCTCAGCCTCCCGAGTGCTGGGACTACAGGCATGTGCCACCATTCCCAGCTTATATGCTTACTTTTTCAGTGGTCCCTAATCTTATTTATCTCCAGATACATTTCACTAAACTTTAAGCTTTTTGATGACTGATTCAATGTCTCATGTATCCCATCACTACTCTGCTTAATATATATATAGCATGTGCCTCCCTCTCTCCTAGCCCACCACCCCTTCTAATTTTGGGAAAGCTGATTTCTATTTTCATAATGCTTAGTGAAATTCATAAAAATGTTGGTGGTATGTTAAACTAGTCTTAAGTCATTTTCCATAAAATGTCAGATTTCTACATTTAGCTTTGACAGGCTGCTTCTCATTTGTAGCTTGTGTAAACTTGTGTTTTGGTGATAAACATAGGACTTAAGAGTGTCAAGCTAGCTTTTCTCTTTTAATGTTTACCAGATGTGGTAATTATTGGAGACAGTTCTCCATGGGTGTTATATGTTATACATGTCTTGTAAGCAGAGGTACAGACTGACTGCCTTTTTTTCTGGACTATATTTTTCAAGGATGTTAATATAGTGGGCAACTTTGGAAGATTGTTTCTCATGAGCAAAGAGCAGATTTGCTTACTGTCTAGTGTAATAAAATTGTAAAAAACATGTTTATTCCCTGTAGAACATGTTTACTTAATGCTCAGTAAAAATAACATCACCCTTCAGAAAAAAGGATAGATATATTTATGCCCATTATTAAAATTTGCCTCCCTGTCCTGTAACACATCCACTGCATGTACGTTGTCGCCTTCCCTTCTTAAGGATTGGGTCTCTGAGGCCTGGCTTACATATTAACACTTTGCTCTTATCATGAATGATACCTTATATCATTATTCAGCACCCACAACACTGTGGTAGAATAACTTGTTAGTCTGCAAGGAGGGTAATTCTCAGCCCTTCAAAGTTCTTGTCAGTAATAGAAACACCATTCTTTTCGAAACTGCAAAATGGGCCCTTCTATAACTTTTACTGAATCTGAATGACGCTAGAATTTAGGTCCCTTAAGAATATACATTATGCTTATTTTATTTCTTATGAAAATAAATTTGTTCAAAGTAAAGGACTATGATTTTGAGATTTTTTTCCTTCTGTAAAATAGTCTCACCCCCTTTCTCCTCTCCCTTCTCTCTCCCCTCTTTCTTTCCCCCTTCTCTCTCCTCTGAAATAAAATTACTGCTGTTGGGTTAAGGTACACGGATAAGCATGTTTTGTTTTTCTTAAAGCTGAGATCTGGAATATATATTGTTTTCATAAAAACAGTGGTATTTTAGAAGGGCACTCCACAAAAAATTGGATATAGCATGAATGTATAAAGATGGATAAACTAATAAATTAGTTAAATAGTAAAACAATATATTGGATACTAATAATGTCCCAAAAAAGGATAGGACTGTTGGGTAGGGATGAACAGGACAATGTTGAGATTTTAGATAATGTTGCCTAGGGAAGGCCTTACTGAGGTGACTTCTGAGTAGAGAGCTGAAGTGTGTTAGAACAGCTGTTTCACTGTCTGAAGGATGAGCACTGTGGGTAGTGTACACCTTGTGGGAGACATGAGGAAGCTAGCTCATAATGAGAGGGTTAGAGTGTTAACTTTTTGTCTTTGCTCTCTATGCTTGTACCAGAGCACTTGCTTTTATGTTTCTATGTTACTTTTTCACATGGTCAATAGGATTCCTTCCTTTAAAAACAAAATTTTGAAACTACTGAACTGTAGCGTGTCTTCTAAGATATTTGTAGTTTTCTTTGACAGTCTCGGTAAATGCCCATCTTTCTGCAGTCAGCCTAAGTCCCATAGCAGTGTTTTGTTTTGTTTTTTTAATTCAGCATATATTTGAATGCTATATTCAACCTAATTTCATTTGGTTTATCTTTTAATTCCCACATGCATTATATTTTTTCTGGCCAAGACCAGAGACTAATAGGTAGCATACCATCTAAAACTTCTCTAGTCAGTCATTACTTACCTTGTGTTACTAAATATAAAAGCTTGCTTTCAAGCCTTGTTTGAAAAAGAATTACCTTTTCCTTCAAATACCATCCTGTCCCTGTAGGTACACCATTATTTTATCTTCTCCCTCTTCTTCCTCCTCCTTTTCTTCTTCTACTACATGTTTGCACTACATAATAATTACATTTATTGAGGTGAGTTGGCACATGCTCATAACACATCTCTTTTATTCCCTTCAGTCTATCTCTTGGTCCCCAAGGATTGCACTTTCCTTGGGTTTATATCTTGACTGCTTATTCCTTCCACTCTTCTTAATCTTTTTAAATTCTCTGACCTAATTTGGCTTCACTTGCTATCTATGTGCTGTTTCTCATATCTTCATTTCTAGTCTGTACGCTTCCCTTGAGCTCTAAGCAGTTGTAGTAAATGGGCTTCTAACACATCCTTTATAATGGTTGTGGGCAACATAGACTCAGTTATCTAAAGCAACTGATACGTTACCTACAAAGACAAAAGAATATGTTCTTCCTCTCTTTATCGTAGTAAGTGGTATTTTTGTCCAGTGGTTTAAGCTAGAATCTATGATGATGGCCTTTAGTGCTACTCAGGCTTTTAGCAAAGTTGAGTTTATAAATGCTTTTTGCAGCAAGAGGAGCCACATGTCCTGAGAAACTAGAGTGTATCAGTAAAATGGTGCTAGACAGGCTCAGAGAATTTGGACCTTTGTTGGGTTTAGGGAGGATTCAGAAAAGTAGTGGGGATTTGCTCTGCAGTGGATCCTGTCAAGAAGTGGTAATTCTGTCATTGTCTAGCTTAATAAATTTTCCCTGCCAAGTGATAAAAATAAACTGGAATTGCTGAAGAAGCACCATCATTTGGTTTGCTGGGGTGTGTGTGTGCGTGTGTGTGTGTGTGTGTGTGTGTGTGTGTGGGTGTGTGTGGGTGGTTTGTACGAGTCCTGGCTTTTTGCCTGTCAGAATTTATTCCCTGCTGGCTGGTTTTCCCTCACTTCCACCATGGTTGCAAGACCTTATCTGATGTTGGTGAGTTGAGATTCTATTTGTTGGGATAACATGGCCTGCTAGCTGTAAGGGCTGCTTTTCTCTTTCTCACTTATTTGGGGTAGAAAATTAAGTAGCATTTGGATAGCAGGAAAATGGAAGAATATTTTAAGGTATGCAAGGGGTGATCAAAATATATAGTGAATGTTTAAATTTTTAAAATTTATTACAGAAAAAGGCACATTGCCATTAATCTCCCTCAGAATGCTCCTTCTTTGGTTCAAACATACATACCATCATTCTTGCCACTTTTTGAAGCAGTTTTTGAAGTCCGCTGTCATGAGTGTTCTAATGAGATATGATAAAAAATATGAATGTTGTTGCTGAGTGCTATCCAACAGAAAGGGAAGCTGGTAAAAACATTTTAGTGTGTCCTCATTCACCTCACTCACTGGATATGGCACTGTGTAATTTTGGCTCTTCCCCAAAGTCAAAATGACTATGAAAAATAAACATTTTGAATCAATTCAAGATATCAAGGCAGCTATGACAGTGCAACTACAGACATCCACGAAAGAGGACCTTCAGAAATGCTTCAGAAAGTGGCAAGAATGGTGGGATAAGTGTGTTTGAAGTGAGGGCAGTGTTTTGAGGAGGATTAATAGCAATGCACCTTTTATTGTAATATTGTTTTTAAATGTAAATACTCACTGTATTTTTTTTATCATACTACATGTGAACAAAAAATTTCCATGCTACTGGCTGAGTGGGAGAGGCAGTAAAGAAACTTACTCTACTGGAAACACATCCGTGTGATCTAATTTTATATTGAAGCAGAAATCAAGTTTGCTTATTTGGTACCTGGGGAAGAGAGGTTAGGAGTAGGGTTGTGTATTAATGGTATATGGTCTTTTAAATCTGAATGTTTAAGTACTTACTATGTGCTGGACACTAAGTACTTAAAAGATTTCTTTTAATCCCGCAAATAAATTGAGTCAGGAAGGAAGGATGCATATCCCTGGCATTGGAAATAAAAACCAAACTGGAAATCCAAGTGCAGCTAATGGTACAGGCTATTAGGTGATATTTAAGAGTGTGAGGTTTAGCATAATAGTTTAGGTTGATTCCTACTGCCTCCCTGATTTGAGACTTTTGTTTCTTCTGTAGGAACTTTCCGCTGTACATTTTGCCATACCGAGGTAGAAGAGGATGAATCAGCAATGCCCAAAAAAGATGCACGCACACTTTTGGCAAGGTTTAATGAACAAATTGAGCCCATTTATGCATTGCTTCGAGAGACAGAAGATGTGAACTTGGCCTATGAAATACTTGAGCCAGAACCCACAGAAATCTCAGCCCTGAAACAGAGGTAAGTAGAGCCCTGTGCCCTTACCAAGAATCCTTTTAAACTTGCACTTGTTTTAACTTTGCAAAGTGAAAGTGGGCAATTTACCAGAAGACTAAAGACTATTATGTTACATAGGTTCACAGTTCTATCATACTTTTCTTATTAACTTGTGCCTGTGATGAAATTTGCAAAATAGTGTGTCGCATTAGAAATCTGTAAGTAGTTAGATTTGACTTCAACTATTCGCTCTGTTTGGGCCTGCAGCAACTCGGCCAGTTCTTCACTAATCCCAAATTAATTGTGCCTCTTGAATTTTCCTAGTCAACATTTGAAGGCTGAAATTCTTTCAGGAATATAGAATTTTCTTTTTTGTTGTTGTTTTTTAAAACATTTAACCACTGTCCTTAGTTTTAAATGTAACTTTCTGGAAAGTAAAGTATGTGTTTCCTCTGGGTTAAGACTTTTACCGGTCTTACTTTTACTTACTTTTACCAGTGGCTCCCTATTTTTATCATTGTGTACTAATGTTGGAGTTGCAAAAGCAGCTTAGTTCTCCCATGCTATGGCAACTGTTTATATTCTGTTTTTGAAAAACATAAGTGAGAACTACAGTCAGGCAGTGTTCTTCCACCCTTTTTCTCCTTCCCTAGGTCAAGATACATTGATATCTACCTACTGCCTTCTTTAGTGTTCAACCTCAGTTGTTCTCTTAATAAATTTTATTTTCTCTGCTGCTGTTGTTACAGAATAGTGAGTCCTGAGCAAATTGGGTTTCTTTTGGGTGGTTAAAAACAATTCAGTTGTACAGAAAGTTTTGTGTCTATATCAGTTATTGTGAATTTTCTAATCTAGCACCATGTAGAAAGTCTTTTCCTATGATAACAGAAAATCCAACTAGAAGTAGATTGAACACCGAGAAAATTTATCCTGCATGACCAGAAGCCCTCAGTACAGTTCAGAATTGATTAAATGATCCCAACTTGTTCCATCCTGCACTCTGCCATACTCAGCCTATTGGTTGTTTTCTTAGGACTATAAAGGAGCTAGCCTGAGATAATCCATTTCTTTTTAGGGTATCACATACAGATGAAAATCTCCAAATGCAGAAAAAGGGCTCATCCCTTCCTTATGTTTAATTTTAAGACTAAAGACAGCTTTCCTAGAGCACTCTCTTCATCCTCTCCATCTCCAAATGTCTCACTGGCTAGAATTACTTTATATGCTTATTCTTGAACCAGCACCTGGCAAAGGAAATGAGAGCACATGGTTGGTGCTTAGACCGTTTAATTTTCTCCTAGGGCTAAGGAAGGTGTTGGAGTTCTTTAAAGCAGCTAGCCACCATCATTTGAGATGAGATGAGGCACGTTCAGGGTGGTATGGCTGTAGACTAGCCACCAGTATTTGAATAAAACTAAGCAAAGATGGTGAGGAGTAACAGTTGGTAGGGATTATCTATATTACAGGTAGCCTTAAATTTTTTTTACTATCATTTGATTTCTTACAAAAATTTATTTTTATATTTTTTTCTGCCCATTTAAGTTAATCTGTACCTCTAACCTAGATCAGGTTTTCTAAGCCTGGGGTATTTCATGTTGAAGTATGTTTCAACATTCTCTAATTCCTTTCTATACAGTATAATGCTATCTGAATTATTCTTGTGTTTCTTCTACCTATAGTTATTTGTTCTATTTATCAAGATGCTTCTAACTACTATAGCATTCAGTTCCCACCACCATGGCATCCTGCCTCTAATGTTCCCCACCTACCACAGACCACTCTCCTTCCAAGATCTTTATTTAGATGATCCTTACTCAATGGTTGAGAGAAATCCTATTATACAGCAATACCAGAAGCCCCAAAACAGCTTGCTTTATCAAATCACCCTCTTATCAGGAATGATAGTGACTCCAAAGATGAGAAGAATATGAGGTAGAGTAAATAAACTGACCTGACAGAGGAAACCCAGGAGCCTGGTCACAAGGAAGAAGGGAAATGGAGATAAGCAAGAATGACAGGGTGGGGTTCCTGGAGCTGCCAGCCAGAACCAAGGTACTGTTATTTCCACATGGTCAGGGGAAAAACCACTGGAGCTAGGTTAGATGTTACACTAAGATGGCACCATCAAGCATCTGATAAGCTCCACTGTCTGGAAAGAACATCCTGCAAGTGGTATTGATTTGAGCTTTCATTACTATAAGATCATAAATTTCTGTAATAGCCCATCCTGTCCCAAGTGTGTAAAAATCCATCCCGCTCCAAATTCAAGGAAAGAGTTATCAGAAGGGTGGAATGAGAGTTCAGAGATGATATTTGGTTTGTTTATTTTGTCTTGTTTTTAATATGTAGTATGATAGTTAGTTTGGTTACTGATCTGTAATCAGTTAAATTCAAAAGTCCCAAATGAGGAACCAGAAGCTGCCTCCACAGTATGGTATAGTCAGTAAGCCTAACTCAAGAGTTGATGGAGATAAGCTCGCCTTCCTTACTTGTATCAGATGATGACCATCATACCAACCTTCCATCCCTTTGCTTGTGGCAAGAGATGGCTTAAATAAATAACTTGAATCTGGAAAAAAAAAAAAAAGAGTTGATGGAGGGTCGGTGCAGAGGGATCTGGGGTGAATGGACCGCGGTGCTGAGGACCCTCAGCGAAAAAAATGTCTGCCTGAGGAGACCCACAAGTTCTGTGGGGGGACTACCTGAGGGAACTTTCACAGGAGGCTGGACCTGCGAGAAGTGGCCAAAGATGAACCCACAAACAACAGCGCGTGGCCGCAATAGGGACCAACAAGGAGCTGAGCCGACCTGCTGAACTTCAGTGCGATGTTTTCTCCACCTGTTAATAGTGGGAAAAGCAGACCAATGACACTGGGAAGCAGTCAGTTCAGTGGATCAGAATTTAGAGGATGATGAAACACTTTCCACCTTTCTTTGTGAAGCCAGAATTAATCTGATTATGTAAACCAGACAAACAGTAAACAATAAAGGAAGGACAAAGGAAAAGAAAACTATGGACCAATTTACTTCATGAACATATTGCAGAAATCCTCAAAAAAAAGCAAATTAAATTCCACTGTTCATAAAAGGAAAATCATAATCAAAACAAACTACAGCTAACATCATACTGAATGGTGAAGGAATGAAAGTTTTCTCCCACGGACAAGAACAAAGCAAGAATGTCTACTCTTAACCTCTCTCCAGTTCAATATTTTACTAGAAAATCCTAGGCAGCATTAATATGGCAACAAAAGGAAATAAAAGAGGAGGAGATTGGGAAAGAAGAAATAAAACTGTTTCCATTGACAGACAACATGATTGTCCCAAAGAATCTTCAAAAACCTAGAGTTTAGCAAGGTCATAGGACATAAGATACACACACACACCCCATCCCCATCCCAGTCTTAATTCTCTATACATTTGGCCCTCCATTTCTTCAGGTTCATTGTCTGCAGATTCAACCAACCATGGATTAAAAGTATGTGAAAAAAATTGTGGCTGAACTAAACATGTGTCTGAACTAAGCCCTTTGTTGTCATATTCCCTAGGGAATATAATATAACATATATATAGCGTTTACATTGTCTTAGGTGTTATAACTAATATGGAGATGATTTAAAATATACAAGAGAATGTGTATAGGTTGTATACAAATACTATGCCATTTTTAAAGGAACTTGAGTAACTGGATTTTGGTATTTGTGGAGTTTCCTGGAACCACTCTCTGGTGGATACTGAAAAACCACTATCTAGCAATGTACAATAGGAACATGGAATAAGTACTATTTACAGTAGTTTCAAAGGAACAGATACTTAGGTATAAGTATAACATACATGTACACTTGATCTGTATACTGAAATCTAAATAGTACTGAAGGAAATCAAAACAAACCTAAATGTAGAGTATACTATGTTCATATATAGTCCTTCCCAATTTGATTTATAGATTTAATACAGTTCCGATAAAAATTCTAGCAGTATATTTTATGGGCACAGGGAATCTGACATCAAAATTTAGATGGAAATGTAAAGAAATTAGAATATTTAAAAATTTTGGAAAAGAATAAAAAAGGATTATTCTTTGTGATTTTGATATAGTGTAATTTACAGGAAGTACTGCACTGTGAAGGGATACAGATGTATTCTCCCCTGCCCTCCCCTCTTTTGACACCTTTCTGTATTTTGGGGCATAGGACCTAGTACTAAACAACAAACATGGTTGTCAGTCAAGCATGTCATTTCTAGAGAATCATATGTAAATGTATTCTCATCCAGAAGAGAAAATAAAAATGATTTGAAAGAAAAAAAAGAAGAGTTGATGGAGAATTCTAGCCTTTCAATAAGTCAACTCACTTATAATATTTATAGTTTGCCTTTCTTTCCATCATCTCTTAGCACTCATCTTAAAAATCTTTTAAAATTTAGTTTCCAAGGGCTAGAGCTCTAGCCCAATAGTAGAGTACAAGGCCCTGAGTTCAGTCTTCAGCACCAAAAGAAAAAGTTTTGAAATAATATTCCTCTCTCACCTATAAGTTATATCTTTTGAACTTTCTGAAATTTAACAATAAATTGTCATTTTAAGTGGAAATGTGTACATTCTGTCTCAGAGAAATTTAAATGTATAGATGGAGTGAACTTAGGTTTCTCTCATCTAGATTTTCTTTAGGTTACATTGGCTGGTGATTTAGATTTGTGACTGTAGTGGAGGTAGAAATAAAATATGTGGAGTCAACTCTATAGTTAAAAGTATATTCATCAAAAAATGTTGATAGATAGTGAGAGCAAGGAAACAAATAGGGAGGATGCAAAAGAAGTGATTGAGATATGGAACATAGAATGGGTACCAGGAAAAAAAGGATGTGATAAACAGTGGTACACAAAGTAGCTCTCAGTGCAGCTAGAATCATGATAAAAATTAGAGGCAGTACTGGAAAGCATGGATTAAGTGACTACATCAGGGTGGATTGGGTAACTAGAAAGAGCTGATTTGACTTCAGAAATAGCACAGGCCTGTAGATCTCCAGAGGCAGGGCAGGAGGGACAACATGAACCCAAAGTTATCTTCAGAGGATGATTGGAAAAACAATGTTGTAAGGAGCGATGTAATGGATTCAGAAATGCATTGGAGAAGCCTAACTGTGCTCTAAGTAACCACTAATATATGAAGTATGTCTAGAAAGAAGTGAAGAGTAATGGACTAACAAAAAACAAGAGATTAAGGAATAATGATAAATGGCTTATGAGAAGACAAATGAAGTTTTGATTAGATTAAGAATGAGAAGTCACTTCATAGGAGACTGTCATGTTCATGGAAAAGATCTAAAGAAATGGAAGCGAAATCATGGAGAACTGTGAAGCCAAGAGTTATTTAGTCAGTAGTTGCTGAAAAAAAAATACAGCAAAAAGTTAGAGTGAGCAGGAGTCCAACAAGCATGAAGATCATTAATGGAATAAATCATAGCTGTCTAAGCAGAGAGGGAGGGAGACTCATGCATAGAAGTTGATGCAAAAAGCCATCAGTAGCAGGCAGATTTGAAATAGAGAGTGAAAGAAACAAAGAGCAGCAGAATGATGGAAAATGTGGCTTAACTCATAGAGATGGGGGCAGCCAAGAGACTAGAGAAAGATGAGTGCTGATCAGGCCCATAACATGCAAACAGGCAAAGACAGTCATGGGGAGGAAAGGTAAAGAGCAAAGTATAATAAGTTGAGAAACAGATCATAGTCCCTGTGGGGTAGAAACACTGGCAGGGGCAGATATAGAGCATCAGTGTAGACATGGAAATAAAAGATAAAACTTGATAGAGAAAGAGGCTGGTGTGCAGAGAGATATGTCTCACTTGGTGGGTGGCAAGGGGAGAATGTTAATCTGAAACTGAGGCCTGGCTTTGTAGAATACTTTTCTAACCTCTTCCCTGATCGGTATACATACTACCTTGGACTATTCTGGGCTGATTTGAGGGAATATTTTAAAAACTACAATATGTGTTTTATTTTGTTTCATTTTTATTTTTTAAACAAAATTCTCGTGAACAGTATTACTAGGGCAGTTTTTGTTTAATTTTTGCCTCTTTTAGTGGATTATGTCATTCTCTTCCCCTAAATAGGTTTATTCAAACATCTCATTGTATAAAACCTCAGGCGTTGTTGGGCATGGTGATGCATTCCTGTAATCCCAACACTCTGGAAGGCTGAGGCAGGAGTATCACAAGTACAAGTCTACAACCTAATGACCTAGTGAGACCCAGCCTGTCTGGGAATGTGCCTCAGTGAGAAGGTCTGGGATTTAATCCCCAGTACTGCAAAAAAAACCATACCTCTATATACACCAGAGAATTCAGTGTTTGAAAAATTTAATAGTAAATACAACATCTTATTCTAATCCATGCAGCTTTCATTCTGAGTTACTGAAGAGATTTCCCAAAAATGTTAAAAGTGTGTATGCCTGTTGATAGCATTTATTTATAATACTTCAGTAATTACATCTCTGGGCATCTTATTTTCCAACACCAAGATGTTAATATTTCTTCTTACTGAAATCCTCTAATCTTTTAATACAGCAAGGACCGAGCAGCTACTACTGCTGGAGCTGCTGGCCAGCCAGGCAGTCACCACCGGGAAGCATGGACCACCAGAGGGCCCTCCTATGAGGACTTATACACACAGAATGTTGTCATTAACATGGATGACCAAGAAGATGTTCATCGTGCCTCCCTGGAAGGGAAATCTGCCAAAGAGAGACCCATATGGCTGAGAGAGAGCACTGTCCAGGGGGCATATAGTTCTGAAGAGATGAAGGAAGGTAAGAGCAGAAGGCAGCAAAATGGATATGTCTTTAGGTCAGTAGAAAATAAACTTGATTTAGTGGAACACTAGGCAGTTCTTAGTTTTATTGACCATTCACTGTATCTGTTTTATAAAAACAATCAGTTGCATTATATCAGGAAGAAATTGAGCTATGAGCATTAAAACCAACCAGTATATTTATATTGTTCTTCGGTGTAGTCAAAATAATACCTTTTTAAAACTCCATTTTAGAGTTGCCATGTCTTTATCTTTATTTCTTGGAAAGTGCTTTTCGTTCAAGGTGGTCTCCTTTAACTTCTATTCCCCTAATTTATATGTGTTTTATTTTTCTGAATTGGAAGTCATAACTTTTGGGCACTAGTCCACAATTTTTAATGTTATTTCCTCACGAATATGAGGAATTTGTACTACCTGAAATACATACATACATATATATATAGAGATACCATGTGTGTAAAGGATTAAGCATTCTCATAGTCCAAGAAGATTGATATAAACTTATTCTACATTTTAGAAACCTCTGTGAGCCAAGAGAGTTGAGAATTGCATAATAATCCTCACAAGTTTGAGAGCTGGAAAGCTAGGCAAAGACTGTTCAGAAATGGAAAACCAGAAGTGACAGGGAATCTCTGTATTTCTGGTTAGATTTCATTGTCCCTTGTTCCCAGGTTATGTATCATTACCAGCATATCACCTGAATATGATTATTTAATGCTGAAGAATCATCAGATACCAAAGACCACTTGTGTTTTGGCCTTCCTTCTAACCTGTTTTTCTATTTTATTTTAATTAATTAATTTAATGTATTTATTTCTTTATTTTTTGAGACAGGATCTCACTATGTAGTCCAGGCTGGCCTTGAACTTACTTTGCAGCCCAGGCTGGCCTCAAACTCTTGGCAATCCTTCTGTTTCAGCTTCCTGAGTGCTGGGATTACACACGTGCACAAATATGCCCACCGCTCTTTTCCTTTTTTGAATTTGTATTTAATATATACTGTGTATACTAATTATTGAAGCAGCATGGAATTTTAGGAAGTGATGGTAAAAGTGGATAATACCTCTAGTGGAATTCTCTTTGATATTTTAATACCAGCCAGGAAAAAAGTTTTCCCTAATAACCACTTTATTAATTAGCTTGCTATATTTAGTTATTTTTATTCAATTTATTCTAGATTATGTAGTAGTTAGGCTGCTTAATAGACTTGTTTTCTCCCAACTTGGCTTCTTGCCTGTTCTTTAAGCTTCTTGCCTGAGCCTTCTTTTCTTTGGACAGAATTAAATAACATTATTATTAACCAATATTATACACAGTTAAGCTTATAAGTTTAGCATTTGATATTTACAATTCCTAGAATAGTAGAATAGGACTTGGATGGGCCTTAAATAAGTCATCTAGTCTACTCAAGTGTTCTGCATAAAATAGGATACTATGTTGTCCTGTCTAAATTTACAGTGGCTACCTTGGTTCACTGAATTGCAATTCTTGGAACAAATTCTGCACCCAGAATCATGGAAAGAATAAAGTTCGTGAACCAAGGTACTGCTGTATCTTTGTTAAATTTCATGGCATACATAGAACAAGTCCTACTCAGTCAATGTATGAAGTGAATCTTGTCCTACACTTAGTTTTCCTCAAACTTGAGGTCATGTTGCTTTTTCTGAGTTTTCCAGACATCTTGGAAGTTCTCATTAATTAATTCTAATTTCTTTTGATTCTGCTTTCCTTATAAGTAGTCCTCTTCCCCCAAACCACCTCCACCCACAGTTCTTTATTTTAATTGTTTTTTTCTGGACCGTCTCCAGTCATAATGTACTTTTCTTGAGACCTAGTGACCAGAACAGAACATGATGTTTGTACACAGGTTAATCTTTAATGATTTGGGTTTTATTTTCATTGTCTTCCTGGGGTTTACCTGACATTTGTTGCTTTGGTTCTGGAAGCATATTAATCCATTAACTTTAGAAACGTGCAGAGGCCTTTTCGGCCTCTCTCCTGGCTTATATCTGATAGCTGTCTAATATGCATACTTGAGATTATTTTTATGTAGGCAGACTTTCTTGCACTTGCCTGTATAAAGATGGATCTTTTACCTTTCTGCCCACTTACACAACCTTCAGCCTTCCCTGTAGTTCTTGCTGGAACTTGGCTTTTAAGCCCCCAGAACTGCATAGCATCATCAGTGAATTTATTTTGCAGTGTACAACTCCTTTATAACTACTAAATTCAGCTGTTCCTAAAACTGTTTCTGCTTTGCCATCCAGAGATATGCTCATTTTTCCTTGCTTTTGTTTTGACTTCATCTATAACAAAATAATTCCTTTTTCCTTCAAACCTCTCAAGATCTTTATCAGAAATCTGTTAAATGTCACCTTCTTTACTTTACAAAACTAATTTGCTTTTTCGCCTAATTTTATATTCAATTGAAACATAACAAAGTACAATGTTGGTAAGATAAAACTGTTTTGTAACACTGTTTTATTAGCAATTATTCGAGACATGCATTCCTTTCTTTTTCTTTTTCTGTTGAAACACTGCATTGGCAATAAGAATTCTGGGGAGGAGGTTCTGCCCTGGATGATGTTTTGAAGTAGTTAACATGTATGTCAGAATGAGAGTTAAAGTTAAATTTATCATAAACCTTTCTTCTCTGACCTCATTTTCTCTCTTACTGCCCAAATTCTCATCTTGGAAGTTCAGTTTTTCCAAAATGTCCAGCGTTCCATGTAATTCATTTTGATGTGTTAATGAGAAGATGCTTTTACTTTGTGCTTTCTTTTGATGTAATGGTAGATGACACTTTCTCAAGTACCAGGCCCATTCTAAACACTTCACACTCACTTGATCTCCACAATACTTCAGTGAAGTACATATTATGATTTTTCCCCTTTTATACTTGAGAAAATTGAAGCAGAGATAATGTAATTTGGACAAAATTAAGGAGATAACAGATGTTAGTATTTGAATCAAATCAAGTTCTAAAAAACTTTTAATGCTTTTATATATTTAAAATGGAAAAAATGGCAATGTTTGGTGTTATCAGCATGCAGAATATGAATGTTTTTACATTTTTTATCTGCAGTGTATTAGTCAAGGTGTGTACACAAAATGATAGGAGGTATGTGGTAAGAGAAGAGTTACTTTTGCAACTAGATACCTTTTTATAAAGAGTTCAAAGTGTGCTTAGTTTGCTTCAGGAAAATAAAACTGGCATTTACTCATTCATGCATTAAATACTTTGTCATTGCCTAACAAGTGGCAAGCATTATCTAGGTGCAAAAGATATCAGTGACTAAAAAGGATTAATGTCTGTTGTACATCCTACATCCTTAGAAAGGGGAGAGATGACAAAAATAATAGACATACTTTATTCATTATGTTAGAAAATAAGCACCTTTGGGAAAAAATAGAGTACTGATAAGGTGACATTTGAGTAAAGACATGAAAGATGTAAAGGAGTTAGTTGTATGGCTACCCAAAGGAAAAATATTCCAGAAGATAGGAACAGGTAGTACCAATGCTTTGAGGTAGGGGTGTTTCATATGTGTGCAAGGAATATCATGGAGGCCTTTGTGGCTGGAGCAGAATGAGGAAAGGAGAGAGCAAGTAAAATGAAAGTAGTCAGGAGTGGTTCATTATAACGCTTTTGGCTTTCAAGAGCAAGATGAGGAGTCATATTTTGATTTTTCTCTTATGCTACATTATACTTGGTCCTTCATAGGCATTGTTTCTTAATGTCCTTAACCAGAAAACATAGATGGTAGATCCTTTTATCATCCTATTTTACAGAAAAGGTACTGAAGTTTAGAATTTAAGTAATGATATGTGTGGAAGAACCAGGATTTAAATTCAAACTGTGTTACTTGTAAAATCCATGTTCTTGACTATTACAGTCCTGAACTGCAGTTTGTGAGAAACATTTTGAATGTTTTATGGATAGTGCCCCAAGAAGTGGAACCAGTGACATCTATGTTGTTTTATTACATCATTATTTATTTAAATATAACACATTTCAGTATAAAGGAATGCTTTTTATATTTAAGGATTTTAACTTTCTGGGTTTTAACCCCTAGGTGGCATAGATATGGATGCATTTCAGGAACATGAGGAAGGTCATGCAGGGCCTGATGATAATGAGGAGGTCATGCGAGCACTCCTCATTCATGAGAAGAAGACTCCCTCTGCTACAGCTGGCTCCATGGGGGCAGCTGCTCCTGTTACTGCCACCAATCCCAGTGACTCAGAAAGTGAGACCAGTGAGTCAGATGATGACTCTCCACCCCGGCCGGCAGCTGCTGTGGCTATGCATCATCGAGAAGAGGATGAGGAAGATGATGATGAGTTTGAGGAGGTAGCAGATGACCCCACTGTCATGGTGGCTGGCCGTCCATTCTCCTATAGTGAAGTGAGCCAACGGCCAGAGCTGGTGGCCCAGATGACACCGGAAGAGAAGGAAGCATACATAGCAATGGGACAACGCATGTTTGAGGACCTCTTTGAATGAGCTTTCCCTGCTTTTCCTCCTTTCTGTCATGCTCATTTCAAAAAGAAATTCCCTGCCTTTGAAGAAAAATATTTAAGTGGCTTTCTTGCTCTTGCTTTAAAGCACCTGTTAATCTTCCACAAAGAATAATGGGAGGAGAAAAAAAAAAAGAATAATAGGAGAGAAAGTTTGATTTTAATGCCAGAACTTGCCAAAAAGGTAGGTTGCCTATAAGCATTCCCTTCTCTACTATTACTACGGTATTACTATGTTACTGTATTTCCTAATCTGATTTTTTTCTTTCCTTTTTAAGATGACCTTTTTGCCCTTCTGAGATAATGAGGGAAGTAAATTCTTTTTGTCTACCTACAGAAACCTACTACAGTTAGTAACAGTAATTCACAGATAACATCCTTTTTATTTATTCTTACCAAGGATTCCAAACAGTTCCTTATATCATCCCTAGACAAAGCAGCTTGCTGATAGGCAAATCACTGGTTAGGGGGAAAGAATCTTAAAACTCCATATTTCCCCAAATTAAGATTGGGATCAACATGTAAGGGAGTTGAGAATGTGTGCAGAAGAGGGATGGATATGCCTGAACCTTACGATTAGTGTGTAAATCACAATTTGTGTCTTCAGAATGGACCAGACTGGTAGATTATATTGTTTTGCCTAATACTTTTTGTTTTGGATCCAAGTAAAGGGTTGAAGAATGAAGAGCATTGGAAAGAGTGCCTTAGAACTGCCTGTGTCTGTTGTGTTTTGCAAGTCCTTTGTGTAAACCTGAGACTGCCTCACCTTCACTATTGACTTCTTGTCAGTGCTATAAATTAAGGCGGCCATACCAGCAGAAGTCAGCATAGAACAATTGATCATCTCCCTCTTTCAGCATCTTTTGAAGGCTCTTTTTTTTTTTGGTCTCTTTTGGTCCTTGTCAGTCATGGTATTTTAGAGTGTATCCTATGTATTGTTGAGCATTGTAACCTCAAGAAACATAGTTAGTTTGGGTTCTGATGTGTAGCTTGATATTCCCAAATGCAGAACTTTAAAAATAAAGGACAACTGTATTTCTTAAAATATTTTTCTTGCATTGTAATTTTTAAGTATTTATCATTTTGTAGTATGTGTGTGAAATTAAGTTAGCATCTTAGAGTATCTGAGCCTTGTACGAAGTGATGTTTCATTTTCTTGGGTGTATTAATGACTAAATATTGACAACAAATCTATTTTATACTAACTGAAATTTGTTAATTTTTAGCTCCATAACATCACAGAGCGTAATTAAAGTGTATATTCTTCTCATTAAAAACATGTTAAAGACTTTTTTTTCTCTTATTCATATTATTTCTTATAATAGGTGCAGTTATATATGATCTAAACTTTCTTTGGCAACAAATTGTTTTAAGAATGACCTTTATGTATATATCTTGTGTATACGGGTCTACTTTAAACATCTTTTTCTAGGCTTCATAATTTTAGAAAGAAGTTAATTTAAGTAAAATGATAAGATAACCAAGGGTTAATTTTTAAACATGGTTAATTTTTTAAACTATATGTTCTTTGTTTACTTTTTATGTGAGTGTATGTAGGAATGTGGAATTTTTGTTATGGAAAGATATCCAAGTGAAGATAGAGATATGAATAAGGTTACTCACTGCAGCAGTGTTTGAAATAGAGATACCCTCACTAAGTGTGTATTCATCAGAAATTAAGTATTTTTCTATAAAGTAACATAGCCATTAAAAAGAATGTATTGGCAAGAAAAGATAACCATAATGTGTTAAATATAGAAGGATTCACTTTTTTCTTGGAAGGAGATAAAGGAAAAAGTACATATAGTGCTAATGCAATACCAGGCACTATTTTAACTCTGTGTGTGTGTATGCATGCATGTACATGTGTGTTACTGGAGATTGAACCCAGGACCTTTGTATTGAGCTACATTCCCAACCCTTTCATTATTTTTTTAAAATCTTGTGACAGTCTCACTAAGTTGGGCTTGAACTCATAATTCTCTTGCCTTGGCCTCCCAGAGTGCTGGGATTTATATAGGCATGGCCCATCATACCCAGCTATTTAAACTGCTTTATATAAACTGCTTGATCTTTTATAAAAAACCTGTGAGTTAGGTTATATGTATATAAAAATATTGGGAATGAGAGTTACAGTAATATGAATATGTTTTTATGGAAAAGATATTTCCATTTTGGAAAAAGAATCAAATGGACATTTTAAAAAATTTATGTAGAAATTACCTGTAGAAATAGCAGAGTGAGCTGAGAGTGGTGGCAGATGCTTGTCCTCCCAGCTACTTGAGAGGCGGAGGCAGAGGAGTGCAACTTCAAGGAGAGCCTAGGCAATTTAGGGAGACTTGTCTCAAAATATTAAGAAAGGGCTGGGGATGTAGCTTAGTGGTAGAGCACCTCTGGTTCAATTCCCAGTACCATGACCACCACCAAAAAAAAAAAAAAAAATCACAAAAGCAAGCTCTTTTTAGGTTAATGCTAGGATTTTTTAGGTGTTCACTCTCACTTTGTCTCTTAAGCCTGGGTTCATCATATCCTTGGATAAATATTTCTGAACTTATACTCAAAATTAATAGGAAATATAATTTAATATCTAAAGTTTGAACCATTACCTTCATATTTTAGTAACATGTCTAATAAAATTCAATAGAATTTGATATTTCTTATTAGTCAGGTTTATCTCAAGTTGCATAATAATTTGGTAAGGAAAGCCAGACAGTGACAGAAGGACCAAAAATGGGAGCCCTGTCAGTTATTAGCCTCTGAAGCTTTAGTAAAGGCAGTCTTAGACCCAAAGGTGGTAGAAGGGTGTGGTTACAATGTCTCATGACCCCGGGACATCTGGAGTTGTCACCATTCACAGCCTATATTAAAAATTGGCTAGGAACTTGGTTTCTCTGGATGTGATTAACTGTTAGTGTATGTGTCTGTTAGTTATGAATAAGTATATAGCTATATATATATATATAAATATTTTAAAAATACGTAATATATGTCAGCTGCTCAGGTATCCCACATTTTCCTTTTTCCTTGTCCTTTAAGATTTAAATGGAGCTGGGTGTGGTGGCACATGCCTGTAATCCCAGCAGTCTGGAAGGCTGAAGTAGGAGGATCACAAGACCAGCCTGGGCAACTCAACAAGTTAGTAAGACCCTATCTCTAAAAAAGGCTGAATGTATGTGTAACTCAGTGTACAGTTACCACCCCCACAAAAACGATTTAAATGAAACTCCTTTGTCCTAACATGATAGAAAACCTCTTCTGTTATCATTTTTGGGAAACCACTGTTTTTTCTGGGGTGGGGTACAGCGAGCTTATAGCCTCTGGCTCAACCTCTCCACCACCCTTGCAATAGGGAGAGTGAGGCAGTAAGAAAAGGGCCTGTGCTAGCATCTCATCCTCAGGGAATAAGATTGTATAGTATGCATCCTTAAAGAATTTCTCACAGGTTTCATCCCAGTAGAATCTTGCAGTCAAATCTTACTAAAATTTTAGCTTCCTTTTTCCTTCTGACCATGCCTTCTTTTTCCAAAGGCCTTAGAGAATTCTAAATATATTTTTTTAAAGTATAGTTCTTTGATTTATTTTCTGGCTCTTTTATTCTAGTCCTTCCAGATACTTGACTTGAAAGTTCCTATTGTATCCAGAATGGCCTATCATGATGTTTCCCTAACCAACGAACCAATTCCCCACCTTTAGGAATCTGTGTGGGTGGCTAACCGTAGTTTTCAAAGGAACATTTTTCTCTCTACATTAAAAAAATATCACTTATGCATTGCCAAAGTAAGGCAATGAATAAACAACCCTGGCCCTATGGCCCTAGTGATCCAATCAATGTGTGTCTGATGGAAGTTTGCTTTCATTTTATCTGCCTTTGAAGTTGAAGCCATTTTCTTATTTTGAAACCCCACCCCCCCTTTTGGTTTTATTTTTGCAAAACATCTTAGGCAGAACTAGGTTTAAATGATTAAAAGAAAATATTCAATATGGCATTGTCTGAAGTCAGGAAACTAGGTTCTAATCCCAGCACTAATGCTTCCAGGCCAGCTTAATCGTCAACTATGAAAAGATTGTGCTAGGACCACCAAGATTCTCTACAGCTCTGATAATTTTATAGAGGTAAGTGATACATGATGCATTTTAAAATGATGCCAAGTAATAACAGTCCCCCCTACCAACCCTTCTGCTGTGCTATAATTCAAACCAGGTGAAGGATATTTTAATTGAGGGACTAATGTAGGTGGCAGGTTGGGATTGAGAATTTAGCAAACCTCAGCATAAACAACAGCTATTTAGGTTTCTCTTTCTCCATCTTGCCAAGGTACTTCACTTCTAGTCACCTAAATGATTGAGGGAGAAAAAATTGAATATTTCATAATTCTCTTTTGGTATTGTTTGAAAGAATTGGACATTGCATGGGAACAAGACTGGGACAAGCAAGTTCATTTTCTTCTCTTCTACCAGCTCTATGGCTAGATTCCCAGCCAGGATCGCAACAGAGTTACATATGTACTTTCTTTTTTTTTGGTACCTGGGATCAAACTCGGGTCCTTGCACTTGTGCAGTAGGCAGCGAAACCACTGAGCTAAATCCCCGGCTGATATGTACTTTCTTGTTCTCTTTATTCCCAAATTTAAAAAAGAAAAGAAAATGACGGTTTCTTGTTTTCTTTATTCCTGAATTTTTTAAAAAGTGACTCAGAAATGACAAAGGACAAATATGAAAATGTTCAGAATTTAGAAACTGATATAATTCCATCTTCATTTGCTTAGCATATTGTTTCATCAAAGATATTTTACCTGTGTTACCTTTAACAGCTGGGCTACTATCATATTTAATATCTAAAATTCTTTTGGGGAAGTAAGGAAGACTTTTAGAAAGAAACTGGCACTTTGGTAAATTTACTGTCTATTCTGCTGGCTCTTTCTGCTATAAAAGAAGGAAAATAAACTCTGAACAAGATAAGTAAAGATACTTTTAAAACCTATAAAGCTAAAATGGGTTGGGAAGGGAAAGAATCATGAAATCTTTGGAGAACTAAAGGAATGAACTAATTCTGGCATGCCCTCAAGGGTAAGAACAAGCACCCTTGCTTCTCTTCAGAAAGAATTTCATGTCCTGAGTACCAGAAGCAGCCTTTCCTATTCTAGCTGCAAAGCAGGTAGGCATAGTGAATGACCCAGTTTCAAAGATCAACCCACGATTTCCATCAAACAAAAGTACATAATTGCCTACCTAATGTAAGTAAGTCTGGGGAATTAGTCTGGAAAAAAGGCTAGCACGAGGTATTGAAATGCCTTGAGTCTTGTTAAGCCACACCAAGGTAGTTACACACTTTTGCTGTTATGTAAATGTTAATTATTTTTAAATACACACAATAAAATAAATAATTAAAACAAAACTCACCGTGTCACTGCTCTGAGGAAATCATTGCTGATAGCTTAGTGTGTATCACCTCAGAGCTTTTCTAGGCCTTTTGACAACCTTCATATTCCCCGTATACCACATTGCTTTTTACATAAGTGGGCTCATATATGCATTGCCATTTGCTTTTTTAAAAGGACTAAATAGAATCTTGTATGATAATTTATGTAACATATTCCGTCTTCACTTGATCTTAGCCGAAAGGCCGAGAAGCGATAACATATTCCTTCTTGGTGGGTAGTTAGGTAGTTTTTTTTCACTGTGACAATGCTGTAAGGAATTACCCTTATATTTTCATTCTTCATTTCTATAAAACAGAATTATAACAGAGAAATAGCCAAACAAAGGGTGTATTAGTCTGTTGTATGTTGTTAGAACAAAATATCCCAGGCGGGGTACTTTATAATAGGTAGTAAACTAAATAAGTTTATTTAGTTCACAGTTTTGAAGGCTGAAAGTCCAAGAATATGTGGTCCCATAAGGAGAGAGCCATTGGGCTTTGCCCTAACATGCATAAGTGGAAAGGAAAATGGCTGCATGCACAAGAGGCCAAGTTCATGTGGTAGACTTGCATTATAATAACCTACTCTGCAGAAACTCACTCTTAGAGGCCAGCATTAATCCCTTCAGAAAGCAGCACCCCTGTGACCTACCTGTCTTCCACTAGGCCCCACCTCTTAAAGGTTCTACCATTCCAACACCACCACACTGGGGACCAGCCTTCTGGTACATGAACCTTTGGAGGATACATCTACACGTTAGCAGAGGCAATGTCTATTTTAAACTTAGGTAGACACTGCCAAATTGCTCTTCAAAACAATTTTTGGGTAATTTTAGGCAAGGGAACAATTTCTAGTAT